ACAGCTCAGAAAAAAATAAGGATATTTGAAACAATACAGAGAGAACAAACAGTAAACGTTTGCATCTCAATTATTAGTATAAACTCTGTCTGCCAAATTGATGGAAACTGCTCTTCAAAATGGGATATCAAACAATATTAAACCATCCCAAATAATATAATGGAACTATAACAAACACTTTTTTTTTACTCAAAATATCAGAGTGTTTTTTCCAATAGTGGAAATAAACCATACATAACGCCTTCCAGGAGGATAGACATCACCACTTCCCAGTTCAGAAATTGCTGCTGAAAGAACAAAAACAAATATTAATGCACCACTGGGTACGTTTTAGCAACTAGGGGGTGCTACACCAGTAACATCCAGGTTAAGCCCACCTCCCGACGGTCACTAGCAGCACCATAGTGTGGCAAAATTGAACAGAATCTGCAGATCACTTTGGGGCAGCAGATTAGGATGAAATCCTAAATCCGAGAACCAGATATGATCCGATCATATCATACCTGTTTAGTTGGCTAACAACAACTAATAGTAGTAGTAATAGGCCTGTCATTTTTCCAAATATAAGCTCTAGTGAAGATAAAAAGAAAGCTGAATATATTAAAGCACACAAAATCACTGCTTAATACTTATAATCTTTTAGTCTCTTGATACCTGCTGGATACGAGGACAGTAACAGCTTCTTTGAAAAGCTCAGAATTAAGGAAACGATGGATGATCTCAAAGCAATTCAGACAGAAACGTTGAGTTCGAATTAAGTGGGTGCTTCCTCCGAAGGCCAGATTAATCGGCTGATTACGTCATAGCACAGCGAATGAAGGGAATGAAGACTCCTCGATATGCGGCCGACAAATACAGCCTACGTTTTTGCCCATTTTGAAGGATGGGTCCGGTGTATCCTACGTTGCTTTCAGTATCCCATAATTCATTGCAGGTCGAAGAAAGCTGGCTGCTCCGTGCTCAGAGGATAAAGGTACTCCGCGCCGAACTATGGTGAATATTGTAGGTGCAGTTTAATATAATATTGTTAGTGCCATTTAATACAATACAAGTTTGTGAATAGCTCCATCTGAAATTTATGAAAATGGAATTTGTAAGTGGTTATTGAGTAAGACATGTGCCAGATAATGTTTGGTTCATTGAAAGAAATTATCTGTCCCTGTGCCCCTGTGTAAACTATAAATGTGATATTCGTGATGACGGTACTGCTGCTTAAGCTCCTAGAATATGTCATTAGCACCAGAAGAGTTGGGAAAAGTCCGGTATCAATTCTTTACCTGCTTTGTGTGTCAACTATAATGCTCGAATCAATAGCCTAAACTCTTCTGGCCTCCTTATTTTCACGGCTCTCTAATAGGGATGGAACGGTTTATGAAAACCGTCCTAACCGTTTGGTTCAACTGTCTCAGTTCGATTTGCGTGTGTTTCGTTCGGTTCATGCGCTGCTCCTTTTTCTCATAGGCGAAGCGTGTACACTCCAGAGCAGAAGGTGGCGGTACTGCGACCAAAGCCAACCACCAGTAGTAAACAAGAAGAAGAAGAAGCAAAGCAGCGTAGCCGGGTGTAGCAGAAAAAAATCAGTTGTTGTGGAGAATTGTGTGGGTATGGCGAGTGGGAAAGAACAGGAGTTGGAAGACGCGCCAGCAGCACTTTATAGGTCTGCTGTATGGGACCACTTTGCATTTAGAGTGACCTACGATGACGGCGGAAAGAAAGTTGTGGCTAAAAGTGCAACAGTGTGCAAGCTTTGTGCAACACGTTTTGTTTATGTTAACAGCAATATGTCAGGCTAACAATCAACATATACCGAACCAAACCGAAAACCGTGACCACGAAACCGTGAACCGAACCGAACTGTGGATTCTGTGAACCGTCCACCCCTACTATCTAAGGACCCAGTCCAGATAATCCGGGTCCTTGTAGGATGCAGCCTCTGAAATCGAACACACCCAAAGTGTTTTTCCATCAATGCTGCCTCAGCTAGCCAGAGAATCATAAAATTACAATGTCAAAGTCAGATTAAAATGTTCACTTTGTATTTGTTCAGTCACTCTGTTTTACAGAGGATACAATCTTCAACATAAAACAGCTTCTACTCTGCTAACAGTAGTCAACATTGCTCATATTAGGAATGCAACCAAAATTATTTGAACGCCCTTGCATCTTTTTAATAATACATTTTCAGAGGAAAAGTCAGTCAAAATCAGTTGCATGCATTATTCTCCAAAACCTCTGTTGTTTTTTTGGATAGTTTTGTTTCTCTGGATGTATCAAACAGCCACATCATTTAATATAGAGGGTTCCTAAATAACATCACAACTCATGGACAGAAACAAACAAGATGAATGAAATTTCTCTGGCTAGCAGCTAAAACCTCTTCCTGCTGTGAGGTGCATAAGTCAGTGGTCAGATAATAAATAAGCCGAATTATCTCTGAAATTGAGCCTATCAGATACTGGGGTCCACAACAGGCTGGCTGCAGGACATAATTTAATGCCATCCATTTGTGTTATCTAGCTTAAAGGCTCATCTCCTGGGATGTATTAGTAGTTATGGGCCATAACTACAGTTTTGTTATAGCCCCTGGATTCTCCCAGAAGAATCACAAAGTAATCGTTTAAAATAATCACTTATTTTTACTTAAAAAGAGTCCAGGTGCTTAAAAACATACTATTTAAAGACATATTTCAGTAGACCTAATATCAGAGTAGTGATGTGCATCTACGTGACAGGATAATAACTTAGACATACTTTGACCATTTGTGTAAAGGCAACATATAAGTGAAGTAAACATTGACATAGATCATATGTTAAAAATAAAGTTCCAAATATGATGAATCGAAGTTTGTAAAATTTAACAAAAATAAACAACCTACAGCAGGAACTAATTTAGCAGACTGCTTTCCAACTATCATTTTACTGTCTTCTTTCAACCTCACATTACTCTGCACACTCAGATATGATCAGCTCATAAACATTTATGTCCGGCTTTTAAATCAGATACCGCCAGCAGTCATTTTCCTTGTAAAATAGCAGTAAATGTGTATTTAACCTCTATTAGACCCCATCTCCTCCCACATATATTAACTTGTTTGCATTCAGTGACAGATTACAGTCTGTGCCCGACACGCAGCAGTAACTCTGCATGCTGACTTAGTCCTCCGTAGCTCTACAGTGAGTCTTTTTGCCAAAAAGCATCAATGCCTGACATGATCAATTCAATATCCTGCTCATAAGGGACAGCTAATTGGTGGAACAGAGTCCTTCCTGGAGTGACTGATGGGCTTTACTTTTTATTTCTGAACGAAAGTGGATTAAACAAAAAAACAGGGAGGAAGAGGATGACCTTCAAAGCTGCTTCTCCTTTACCTCCAATGCTAACAGAAATTACCTGTTAATACTCATCAATCTGCACGCAGCATGGCTAATGAGAGGCTGAAGGATGCCAATTAGTGACAATTAAAGATGTTTACTCTAAAATTTTACCCCTAAATTGCCAAGCTGTGCCTTCTAGCTTAACCCTGACATATTTAGTATCTATTAGAGATAGACCTGTTGTCCTCAATCTCCATATATATGTATATTCTGTTTTCGTTTTACATTTTTTTGATTTTTATTTATAAATTATATGATAAACAAACACTTACAACACAAACTAACTAGAAAAATCTTATTCAAACGATGGAGCCCTTATAGGACAGATGCCCGGTATCACCTGGCATCATCTGGTGTATCAAAAAGCTTCAGAAATGTTGTAATGATATCTTATTATTGAGGACATGATTATAACTTTCTCACAAATATAAGGGTTTTTGTTCTAACTTTAATTCAGCTCGTTTTAAATGTATTGATTTATTTTTTATGACTAACACTAAATAAGCTCCTTAATGGAAAGCTCAGAGGTCTTTGCTGAACAGATTTTCCCCCTTTTTATTCCACCAACTACTGAACCAGGATGTGCAGAAGTCATCCACCTCATTACCAAAATGATCCACCCTTTGGCTATCAACCTGCCACCTCTGAGTGTGTGAGGGAGAGAGTGAAGACAGAGTGGCAGCAGTGAAACCCTCAGGGATAGTCACAGAGAAGCAATCCGCTTAAAGATAGCAGATCAAATGCAAAAATGATTTATAATTGTCTCTATAAGATAAAATGTATTAAACCATACAACTTTTAAAAGTCTCATTCACCCTGAGCGTTTTCTCTGAAAAGTCAAATAAGGTATTACCCATCATATTCCGACAGTACGCCCGAATTTCTAACCGATTTTAGACTGTTCCCCTATGCGGGCTGTGAGAAATATTGATCGCTTCAGTGATTGGTCCTTCCAGGTGACTAAGGTCCCAGGTGAATAAATCATTTATGAGCATAAACGCCGCGCGCAGGTGTGCGCAGCCAGGTTCCTGGAACCAGAACAGAATTTTAGACCCAAATGCCACCTCTGCTGAGCAGAGAGGGGGAGTCTATCAGAGAACCAAACCAAAATACACACACAATCATATTCATATCTTTGTGACCGAGCACTTAAAAAAATCACCTTAAAACAAAGGTTAAGACAAAGTCACAAAAAAAAGTGTTCAGATGGAACATTTTTATTGAGAAGAAGAAAGGGGTGAAGGCGTACCCCTCCAGGAACGCGCACCCAGGACCAGCCTTAAAACCTTCAACATGTCAGCATCAGACACTAAAGTTAAACCATGACTGAATGTGCGCGGATAGAACAAAAACATTAAACACATGCACGTGTCTTTGAGCCAGTTCCATTAGTGCAGCTTTGGACGCTGATGTCCGACTGACTGACAGCCGTCAATCAGAGATGCAAAACGTGCACGCGCTTATGCGCTATTGTGCCAAAAAGCAACTATTTAATCTATATAAAACGCACGAGCACACACTGTATAAAGCTACATTCTCCCGGCACGCGCACGCACACACACACATACTGGAAGACAGACCGTCTTTCCTGCAAGGAAGCGCAGTAGAAACAAGAGGAAACACACCTTTCTGTCTGCACATCTCCAAAGACTAAGTCCGCTCAGCCCGAACCCGCATCTCGGTTCATATTAATCCACATTCTTCCCACTTATTCCCAAGATCAACCGAGCCGGTAAGAGAATCCTTCCGCAGCAAGTAGCAAGAGATTAATGCAAATAAATCCACCAAGAGAGCCAGCTCACACAGAGAGAGGGCGAGGGATGAGGTGCGCCAGCTTCGGGTCAAACGACACAATAAACCGTTTCTCAGCAGCCGAGCGTCTCTGGGGCCCCCCAGCCGCGCCCTCCTCATTAACATAATAGATTGACTGGAGCCAATCAGAGAGCGGGACACGGAATTCAGCGTGCCTCTCCCTCAATGGGCTGTACAAACTGGATTAATTAAATAGAAATGAATGAAACCTTTTTTAAACACTATTATGATTTTATTTTATTATCACCTGTTTATCTATTAAATTTCATGTCTAAATCTAGAGGTTGCTGGTTTTTTATTTATGTGTATAGATGTGCATCTGAAAAACAATGTAATGTATAAGAAAGAGATAAAGTAAAAGTATTAGTATCTTTTACTAATACTAATTAGTATTTTTATGTCAGTATGAGGTAAGGTTCACATATTGATAATCTGAATAATATACCCAAAATATATTGATAATGTATTATAAAACATAACTGTAAATCATGTTTTCTTTTTTTTTATGTTTTAAACATTTTGAACAGCTTTTTTTTCTAAATATTATCAAATCAAAACAGAACAATTCATTTAATTGACTTTAAATTAAATTCCAGTGACATATAATCCAACTAATCCATGGCATAAACATGGCCTTACAACCTTATATATATAGTTTTGTTGTTTATTTGCCTATCATAGACAATCTGAACAGGCTTGCCACTAAGCCAAATATTTTTAAAACATCTGATTACATGGGAAACAGAGCAGTCTCAGAATCCAGTTATAAGTAGACATCAAGCAGAATTCTCAAGCCTCATGAAGGGATTACTGAATGGAAGAGCAGGTGAGTGTCATTAACTAAAACTTCTAGTATAGAGCATGACCTGGCATAGAATCAAATCAAACACAGTAGATGTGAGAAAGCAATATGGGATTTATGATAAAGAAACCCGGGGATAGATAGAAATACAAGGATATCACAAACTACTGTAAGAAACAAGATGACAAACTAAACTCAAAGCTCTTAGCATTGTGATATTTATAGAAAAATACAAATTTCAATCAGGCAGCCAATGGCACTGTTATCCATGTATTTGTATTTGACATACAGTGGGGCAAAAAAGTATTTAGTCAGCCACCAATAGTGCAAGTTCTCCCACTTAAAAAGATGAGAGAGGCCGGTAATTTTCATCATAGATATACCTCAACTATGAGAGACAAAATGAGAAAAAAAAAAGTGCAGAAAATCACATTGTCTGATTTTTTAAGAATTTATTTGCAAAATATGGTGGAAAATAAGTATTTGGTCAATAACAAAAGTTCATCTCAATACTTTGTTATATACCCTTTGTTGGCAATGACAGAGATCAAACGTTTTCTGTAAGTCTTCACAAGGTTTTCACACACTGTTGCTGGTATTTTGGCCCATTCCTCCATGCAGATCTCCTCTAGAGCAGGTCAATAACAGTAACAGAGAAGATGCATTTAAAACGCATGGATTTCTTCTAATTACATCTGCCTCATATACCATAATATCTTGTGTTCTCTTAATAAAAGTGGATAAAATGTCAAAATAAGATGTGATTAAACCAGAAAAAGAAACACTGTCCTCCAGTGTGTTTAAAAGTTGTTGTTATTTTTTTAGGTTGTTTTTTTTTTTCAAGCTACATAACAGTGGCCTTAGTGTTTGCTAGTTTTGCTAGTAAAACCTTTCTAATGGCACAACATTCTGCAGGCTTGGTCTGTTAAGAAACAGTCCGTAAAGTTTTGCAGCCATGTCAATGAAGTTCTCGCAGCTTTTCCCCGTATGTCGTGAAGAAGACATTCCGTTCTTTATGTGGTGGTCAATTGACCAACACTTCAATGGATTTATATTCCCAAAATAATAATAATACTAGTAATAAAAAAAAATGTATATATATATATATATATATATATATATATATATATATATATATATATATATATATATATATATATATATATATATATATATATATATATATATATATATATATATATAAAACAGTTTTCTCACCCCTCGTGGGGTGGTATGTGTCATCCTCAAGCTCGGGTCCCCTACCAGAGGCCTGGGAGTTTGAGGGTTCTGCGCAGTATCTTAGCTGTTCCTAGGACTGCGCTCTTCTGGACAGAGTCCTCTGATGTTTTACCTGGAATCTGCTGTAGCCACTCTCCCAGTTTGGGGGTCACAGCCCCCAGTGCTCCAATTACCACTGGCACCCCTGCTGCTCTTACTTTCCAAATCTTTTCTAGCTCCTCCTTCAGTCCTTGGTATTTCTCAAGCTTCTTGTGTTCTTTCTTCTTGATGTTGCTGTCACTTGGGATTGCCACATCTATCACTACTGCCTTCTTCTGCTGGTTGTCGATCAACACGATGTCTGCTTGGTTAGCCATCACCTGTTTGTCAGTCTGGATCTTGAAGTCCCATAGGATCTTAGCTCGGTCATTCTCAACTACCTTAGGAGGTGTCTTCCATTTTGACCTTGGGACTTCCAGCCCATACTCATGGCAGATGTTCCTGTACACTATGACAGCTACCTGGTTGTGGCGTTCCATGTATGCACTTCCTGCCTGCATTTTGCACCCTGCTGTTATGTGCTGTATTGTTTCAGAGGCATCTTTGCACAGTCTGCATCGGGGGTCCTGCCTGGTGTGGTAGACCCTGGCCTCTATTGATTTTGTACTGAGTGCCTGTTCTTGTACTGATATATATATATATATATATATATATATATATATATATATATATATATATATATATATATATATATATATATACATATACAGTATATATATAGTAGAAGTATTATGCGTGTGTGCTTTAATTGCTTATGTCAGGATTAGATGTTTATGCATTGTATAAAATTGTCTAAGGACTTGTTAAGTAATTTCATAATTTCCTATATTGATCATTTAATTTAATGATTATATTTTATTTAACGAGGTAAGCAATATCTATGCTGAATCTTGATTGTTTATTTGCTTCTTCCTGTATTTTTATTACCTTAAAACCCGTCCTGACATTAGTCCCGGCCCAAAACCGACTGACTTTAGCTTATTTGGTGTAGGATATGGCCTTTGGTGAGTCCAGAAGACCCAATGCAGCACCTCTTTAGAGCTACTTTGAAACCAAGAGCTCTTTTCAGAGCTATCCAAAGCCTGTTTATAGGTCCCTTTTTCTTTGCACATGTGGTTTGGTTCCTTTATATCACTACCCTTTTATTTATTGTTCAATAGATTAAAAAATCTATAAATTTCACTGAACCATGTTTTAAGGCCAATATTTCAGTCTATTATGATTATTCTAGGCATGCAGATTATAAAACACATTTAAGATTGTAATACTACATCAGACTAATAGGGAAACAGTTTTAATATCGACATTTGATTGTTGTGGGAAGTATATTTAATATCCTCTTCAAAAGTGATCATTTTCAAAAGGTACTTTCCTTTTGCTCAAATAAGCCTCATGTCAAAGCATTTTCTAATTTATTGTACAAGAGTGTATTGGACACATGACCAAAGTGCAAGAGTGCAGTAAGCCGCAGCTTCCCCATATCATCTAACCATTAACTGATCCCATATAGTCCACCTGTATAGAGAAAGTTTTCTCCTTATTAAAGTATTACCAGTTACAGATTCAATAACTGGCAAAAACAAATATCTCTCTAAATATTTTATATTGCTACTGTTGTAGCCTATTCAATATTTCAATTTAGACACTAGGAGAATCTACTGTGTTTAAATAAGTTCAAAGTTAAATGTCATTCCAGAGATCATGTTTGGATGAGCATTGAAAAATGTCAACAACACCACCCCAACTATGCAGTTGGAAGGCGAGGATATGATCGTGTGTGGATGCCTTAAAAAAAAAAACAAAAAAAAAACAAGGGCCCTAATCAAAGTAAAATTGATGGAAAATGTATCTTGTTTTAGGTTCTTTGCACATGTTGATTTATTGGGTTGTTGCTGAAAATCTTGTGTGATTTCATTTCCATAGCTCAGTCAGAGATATATTTACTAAAAAAGTATGTTGATGTATGCAATACTTCTTATTCACCCTTTACATGAAAGACCTGAGCTGTGTTAAAGCTTGACATCTCATTTATACAGCACTTTCTGGTATTGTAACTACTGAAACTGATATCAGTAATAAGAAGAGGCCTGTCGACTTCAGAGTGCTCCCCACTGTTGTAAAATGATTTCCTGGAGGAAACTTCAATTAAATTTCCGGCTCACAAACTGAATTTATTTCTCAGCAGGATAATTAGAGTCAAGTAAAGAAAGGAAAACTGAAGGATGTACTGCAAATACAGCACCTAGATTAGAAAGCAAATCCCCTCTGCTGCATCGCTGTCCACTTATCTGGCAGTTCTTCTTCAGATCCTCCTCCTCCACCCTCTCATCTTTCTGTTTATGAAAACAACAAATTAAAGGATATGAAAGATGCAAATATCTGGGGAAATAAGTTTCCAGTTGTGTTTTGTGTTAATGTTCCTATGTGCCTGATTAAACTTTAATCCCCCAATGTTCACCCCATTCAACCTCCAAAACACAACACCCACATGTTCCCTAAAATCTAGAGAAAAAACAAGAGGTCCAGGTAAGTCAGAAGCTCTCCTTCGTCATAAAGTTGCAGAGCTAAACACAAGATCATTCATCTCTACAGTCACATTACAGATGCACCCAATAACTATGAGTCTTCTGATGGCTTCAAACATTTTTAAATTGAATTCCAAACCTCCCTTATATGTTTTTTAACAAGATGCGAAATCTAAAAATAAGGAAAAAATTGAGATATGTTTTGTGTAAATAGTGAAAATATCCTGCATTGTTTATCAGTTTAATCTGAAAAACTCAGAAGGAAAGAAAAGACAATATTGCTTTAACTATAACTATAAATCAATAAAATATAACCGTGGATGTCTGGGGGACAGTGATTCGCCTACATTTTATGAATGCTGGCGTACCATAAAGAATAAATTATGAACAGTTTAGTTTGTGCCTTCAACTCATTGCCAAAAGAAGGACGTTACTTGGATTACAAAACCGAATA